ACACACACACATTGTAATTGTAACTGATTCAGAAAGCATGCTGAGGAAGATCAGAACAGGTATGCTTCGTGCAGAGTGGCATTCTTCGCTGCGGAGGACACGAGTGAGGAGTATTGTCTGGATTTTTTCACCGGGTCACGGCGGTGTGTTGGGAAATGAACAGGCGGACAGACTGGCTGGCTCTACACAACTTGGTGGAATACTTCTACATGATAGGGCAGACGTGGTTAGTGCCTTGTGGGAGAGCGTGTACAATGCGGAGGAGCAGATGGATCACCACAGTTTGGTGAGATTGATGCAGTTGGGGGTGACGAGAGGTTCTGGCAGAAGCTCAAGGCTCAGAGGAAACGCAAGACGGACATTTAATCAGAAAGCTACTGGCACCATTAGTATCGGACTCTTCGCTGGCTGCTGAAGATGGAGACGGAGCGCTTATGGGAATGCCCCGGGTGCTGTGATGTCGGTTCTTGAATCAAATCAAATCAAATCCTCCCTCGCATTATCTAATTCTACTTTCAACAAGAAGAGTTCTTCTTCCTGCCAGAAAGGGTCAATTTGAGGTTAAGGTCTCTGAAATCTGCATACGCGAGGACACCGCACCGCTGTTTCACTTTAAACTTCACCGGTAAATACTGGAACAAAATATCACAATTTGTCGCACTTTTAAATATTTTTCTTACATCTCTGGATGTTTTTAGCGCTTGTCTCAACACCATTTCTGGTATAGTTTGCATGTTATTATTGTATTTCACGTCCTCAATACTGGAACAAAATCTCACAAGTTTTCTAATTCATCAGCCAGTAACTATTAGTATTTACTGTCTATATCCTTCTCACATCCACAGCTCAGTACTTTTTTTTTTAAAGTTTCTAACCCCTGTCTATAAATATAGTACGACTCATGGTATACTTTGTGTATTATTAACCTGGTAATCTTAATATTATTAATATTATTAAGTAGGAAGGAAAGAATAAGACATTTTAGACATTTTCAAATCATGAGTGGCTAAAATTCACTTATTCGAAAACAATATTTTTCAGCGTCTTATCTTATCGCTAGATCTTGGGATCACTTCCTTCCTATGATTGTCTAGCCACCTTGTACACGAAGGACTCGCTTGTGTAATCTTTGTACGTGCCCTCTAGTAACGACAGTTTAGTGCTTGTCCAGACCTCTGTGGGAACAGAGTTTTAACTTGCAAATCATACTCTTTGTTAGTTGAATGTGCTGGAGTTGCCCCTTTGTTTTATAGTAAAGTCTAAAGTAACTTTTGTCCTACTTTGATTTGTTATATTTTTAAATACAGAGAAAATACATGGTTAATTCATCCATGTTCATCCATACAGTTAAAAGTGCAGTCTTTTTGAAGTCTGCTGTGTCTTTATGCGGGTTTCCTATTTCCAGGTATTGTTTATCTTATTTGTATCATTATAATTAAAAACTGATCTTTTCCTTCTGCTTCTTCCTCCTCTGCTGCTGCTATTTCTTCTTTATCTTCATCTTTTGCTGATGTTTCTACTTCATCTTTTGCTGATGTTGGCTATCCTCTGTAAAACGGTCCCAAATTATTGATACTGAAAATATACTCTAACGGGGCCTCAGTCACATGACAATTGCAGACTTCTGGGGACTATACTGCCACCGCCGAATTGCGGACTTCCGGGGACTATACTGCCACCGCCGAATTGCGGACTTCCAGGGACTATACCGCCGCCGCCGAGAGTATCTCCCACGCCGCTGCGCGCTGCGTGGATTGGGGCTAAACTAGATGGCTAGGACTCACGAGCAAATAAACTGAAGGAAGCTGCAAGAGATGCGGTAGTTGCTGCTCGTCAGTCCCAGCCATCTAGTTTAGCCCCAATCTACGCCTTGTGTAGCGGCGTGGGAGATACTCTCAGTGGTGGCGGAAGTTGCCGGAAGTCCTCAATTGACATGTGACTGAGGCCCTGTTAGGCTATATTTTCGGCCTCGATAATTTGGGACCTTTATTCGGAGGTTAGCCGCTAATGTTTCCTCTTCCATCTTCAACTTTCTTTTTTTTTCTATTATTTCAGTCTTTTCCACCTAATACTTCCTATTGTTGTGCCAAGTCTTTTTTGTGTTGTGGGAATATATATTTCCCAGTTTTTTAAAAATATCTATTACTTTGGTACCAGTCAAGCTAGATATTGCAATTAAAGAAATATATTAAGCAAACAATTTTTGAATTTCTTCTCTTATTATAATCCATGCTGTAAGGTTAACTCGTTTAGGATGACATTTTCTCTTGGCTCTGGACAGCATTAATTTTAAGCTGAATATTTTTACTGCATCATGACAGGGCTTCCTAAAGAAAAAGTATTGGCTGTACGGTGCCATATAATACATCAAATTATGGGTCCATTCGATTTCCGGTCAAAATGGACGCTAGGTAGGGGCACTGTTCGAAGCCGAGGCAAATTTTTTTAATGAGGGCAATTCCAGTGACGATTTAAGACCTTTTTTTATCTGACAATGAGGATGATGTTGATCCTGAATATGAACAACTTACTGTGTGTAATATGCTTTAAAACTTGCATTGTATTCCATGTAGAAAGCTGGCTTTTGTAAATGACTGCTTGTAGCAACAGTGAGCTAAAATTTCAATATCAGACTGTTAGTTTTGGCACATCTGAAGATGGTCTTGTTGATTTACATTGCATATTTGAGCTTCAAGATTTTTCTTGGACTGGCAGATTTTTAGTTTTTCAAATAGAGCAATGTCAGACATTATATGTGATTTCCACTGACACAGTATGGAACAGTTATTGGGTGACCCGTATGCACTGAAGTTGAAACCTTGATTAACGTCTTAGATATCTTTACCTTTTATCCATCTTTGATATGCTGTTAATTCTTCTATAAAACCACATCTCGGCGCCCTTTTTGGATACAACTGGCAAAATGAAATCCAGTGGTTCCTCATTCAGTTCTCTATGGTAGTAATTAACAAGTGGCTTGTCAGATGACAAGAGATCTCTCCCCAAATCTCAGGATAGTTACATTTTTACAAGGGAACCACTGTCTTAGTTTATGACAATCTGAAATTTTGACAAGGGCACAACTCTCTTAGTTCATGACATTCTATTATACAATTTTTATGAAGTTGTTAGAAGCCTAGTTATTTTAGCACAGTGGTTTTCAAAACCACTGCTTTAGTTGGATCTGCCTCAGTAGTGGCTATGACTCACCTGTCTGCTGCATTTTTCCAGAGGAAGGTGCTGCTTCGATGTGGTAGCTAGTCTTCTGAGCTGATAAAACTAAGCCCATGTTTAACTCAGGGCTCTCCACTGTCTCCAGTCCTCTTCAAAATACACACAGTCAAGATCATAGAACAACTGCATGGCAAGGGGAGAACTCTGTCATATGCGGATTACATCCTCATGTGCTGACTGGGCAGGAACAGAGATGACATTGTTTTGGATCTGCAACAAGAAATAGATTGCATATCATCCTGGTGCAACTCGGGGGCAACGATGAATCCATCAAAGGCGACAATCACCTGGTTCTTGTTACATATCACCTTTTCAAAACATAAATGCCAATTGTAAAACTGGCTCTGACATGGAGAAATCTGATTTCATGAAATAGCTGTGTATAACATTTGATCTATACCTTACATTTAAAAAACGAGTATACTACATCATTACCAAAGCCAAGTAAGGTCTCTCAGCAATAAAAGTTATGGCAGCTGCTAGTTTTGAGCAGAAGCTAATTGTAATATTATAATGTGGGTTAGTTTTCTCCACCGTTGAATATGCACTGGTTATCATGACAGCACCACATGGATGAACAGATTGGAAAAATTTAAAGCGAGGTAATGCGTATTCTTGGATGCACTAGAGACACCTTGTGTAAATTCATGTGTTACCTCTTGGATTTCCCCACAATGGAAAACAGAATCAAGCTATCTAGAGTCGCTGCATTCCTCAAAATGAATTCAGATACTCGACACCCACTTCATGAAGAATTATTCAAGCAACAAAAAACAGAAAGAACTTAAAAGAGGCAAATCATATATGGGTCATATTGCGTACACCATCAAACATATCTACTGCCTTACTGACATTAATTTTAGAATTGGATGGATACCTATGCCTCCTGCTTCAAACATTAACATTACAGTCGAAATCACACTTGATAGAAGCTAAAGAGAGCAGATTGGTGGCATTGTGGACACTTTAGTCAGAACACTGATTGATGAAAACACAGACAAGGTGATCCTATAGTTTACATAGACAGTCCGGTAATTTGGTGCAAGGGAAGTGCATTAGCATTCACAGTAAGCTTAAGGAGGAAAACCATTAAGAAGATAAATGGGGCTTTTGCTGTTACAACTATCAGCCTCACAATGGAACTGTGGCTGTGACAAAGACATTAGCATGGCTTGGTACGCAAGAGTTCATATGCGCATACATACTTAGTGACTCGGTGAATATGATTTAAAAAATCCTGACTGAGTTCATCGGACAAGAATGGATTGCAACACTAAGCACTTCTTGAATGGCTGCCACAACCTTTGTCTTTATGCCAGGTGATGGGGGGTGTTCGAGGGAATGAGTGTGCAGATTATCTTGCAGACACTGCGATTGTTAAGGCTTGTCCGGTACTAGACAGAAGCAATGTTATCAATGCCATGTGCCGAACTTATTGGGACCTATGGATCTGTCCTTAGTGTACTTTCTAATCCCAAATCACTAGGGCTCACCTACAAGCTCAAAGGTCATAGATTTGTTTCCGCATCAGAAAAATAAGTGACCCTGACTCCCAGATTGACCAAGCCTAACATGAAATGTCCTAGCACCTAAATGCAGCCAGCTTGATACTGACCACATCCCCCATTGAAGTCCAGTTGGTCTATAAAATATGCCCGATACACCACTTGCTAAAAAAGAGGAGTCTTTTATTTTTTGCTGTCCTATTCACTTGATTGTTTCCATCTGACAGATCACTTTCCAGTTCTTCAGTCAGATCTGCAACTATGCCTATCGTGTCAATTAAAGCTCGTCAAATTTATGACAGTCGTGGAAACCCCACTGTTGAAGTTGATCTGACAACTGAGAAGGGTAGGTATATATGTATATATTTAATCATCATAATGTTTCCCTATATGGGTTCAGAGGTCCCATTTTGAGGGGAAAAGAATAGATCCCACTGTCCTTCTAACCAGCATGTCGTAAAAGTCAGCTAATTAGGGGTGTTACTTTCTGGGTTGGAATGCATCTACCTGAGGGACGAGAACCAAAAGTCTTCACAAAAATAAACCACGGTTCTTTAATTATATCTTACCCCAGATGACATCACAGTATGGACCAACATTTTAAAGGGTGGTATGACTGGGTTACCTGACTTTCTGATGCTTTTAACTACCCCAAAACATCTATAACTGGCCTAGTTACCATGAATGCATGCAGCCTAGGTCCCACGACTGCACACAGTATATCTACAACATCCTGAAATATTAGACTGTCCTGTGACCTTTGGATTTCCCCTGTGTGGGGTAGGATATGAATAAAGCACCTAAGCCAGATCTGTAAAATGGATGTGCACACCAGAATCTGTCAAATGGATTTTTCAGTGTTGTGTTTGTACAGTCATTAACTGCTTTTTTGTTGATGTTGGTATAAACAAATTAATAAGGGTCTACATGTGGACTCACAAAGCACGTTCAGAAGTGTGAAGAGAGACTGTTAGTGATTTATGACGCCCCTACACTTTTGAACCAAAATCGAACCCACAGCCTTCAAAATGGAAGTAACAGTTCTAAAGTTAGCGCTCGGTACAAATTGTGAGAATTTGTGTAATTCTGTTTACCAGGTCTGTTTCGGGCAGCTGTCCCAAGTGGGGCATCCACCGGCATCTATGAAGCTGTAGAGTTGAGAGATGGAGGCAACAACTACATGGGAAAAGGTCATTGTTTGTTGCTGTGAAAAATGTCAGATCACTTGCTATGTTCACAACAAAGGTTTTCCAAATGAGTAATTTTCTTGGTCACAATTTGAATTTTTTTTCAACAGACCATTTTCCAATGGGGGTTCTTGGGGCCATATAGTATTGGTGGGGAGAGAGGAGAATGGACCAACTTATCCCTAATAAGAATTTTTTTAATGGCAATTAATTATTTGCTGAAATTGGATGTCTTTGATCAGAGACACAGATATTGCAGCCTTTGTTGTAAACCACAACACAGCAGGCTGGACCACTTTTAAAGGCACACAAAGATTAACAGACCTTATGTGGGCTGATACCACATCGCCAGTATATCAAGATGGCATGGAAATAATGTTTTTTCCTGTTTATTTACTTGTTTTGAATTAGCTCAAGCATAATTATTACATGATGAATTCCCTATGTGGGTTCAAGGACCCCGTTTTAAACGATAGGTACAGCTACTTTGACATTCAGTGCCTATGGCTACCATTTTGGTACTGCACCTTCCTTGCGAGGATGACATTACTCAGTGACATCTTTTCAGGATTGCAGTCATTCCTACTACCTAGAACATTATTAGTGTCATATTCTTGCAGCTGTCATTCTGTTGTGTCCACTCATTGATAAATCTTATTTCTGTCTGCACTGAGTACATCATGTATTGTGATTTTGAATTTCACTTTGTTGGTGTCAGGTGTTTCTCAGTTCACTTTGTTGGTGTCAGGTGCTTCTCAGTTCACTTTGGTTAAGTCTTTAGGTGTACTGTTATAATATCAGATTTCAGTTATACTGTGTTTGTTTTTGACTGTGATAGTGATTCTATCCAGTCTAGGGGCTATCAAGTGGTCTGGCCAAGTCTTGCCAAGGAATATCTTTGATAATTTTGTGGATCCAAACACTTGATTGGCCTTATCCCTGAAGTGATGTTGGATAGTTGTTGGAGCTGCGGAGACCACCTAGACCAATACGAGCCACCATCTAAACATTAAGTCACTTCAGAGTGCCTATTATTATTAGGGGAACCCCAAATACAGACATGTGACAGTATAGTGTGTAGACCTGGTGGATATGTTTATATTTAAAATAAACTAATACAAAATTTAATATATTTTTTCGGGTGAAACAAACCAATTTCATTGTTGCAATTGTGACATCATAATACGCTTATGGTGACCTCACTTTGCTCTCTGTGGCTGTCCACAGAAACCATATTTTCTCAGTCAAAGATAATGAAAGCAGTTATTTGTTTGTTCTGTTTATATTTGGTTATTACTTCCCTTCGTATTAAAAAATAATCACATTTGCACAAAATAATGACTTAACCCTTTTAGCACGGGAAGTTTTTCAGAGGTCTAGCCAAAAACACGGAGCATTTTTTCAGTGAATTTGGTTATTACTTTATTTAATTTTTTTGACAGATTTCTGTTATTCTGACCCCTATGAAATAATATATCTATTTGAAGGATATAGATTGAAGTTCGTGATTTTCACAATATCGTTAAAATTAATTGATGTATATGCAAATTATCTCATTTGCATATCTAAAAATAGAAAATATGAATTTGAATTTTCAACTTCAATGCTTGAAACAAAACTAAAAACAAAAATTTTTTTTATTTGAAATCTTTTTATTGATCTTTGGCCTTTTTACAAATGTTGTAAGCAATTCAATAGTCAAAAACATGTATATATATGTGAAACAGCAATAATATCTTTAGGTGACATGTGTTTTTCACCATCAGTCAGCACTATAAATGGATGTGCCGGAGTGTCAATACCTTCGGGTGGATATACCCTGAGCCATGGTTGGGCTGTGGTCTGAACACAACAGCGTCCCCATCTGATTCCCACTATAACTACTAACACTAAATTCTGCATCAGTATCAACAGAATTAGTGTCAACACTTGATTCAAATCTTTTATCAACATAAAGTTTAGGGGCAGAAACATACGAGTCAGACATACTTTTAGCGGTTCAGGTCACTATCTAAAAAATTCAACAACGATTTTCACTTCGATACCAAACACTCGAAAGTCGCCATGTGTAAAGCTGATACCGCAGTTAATATAAATGAATCACTTTCAGTGTTTCAAAGTAGGAGATTTCTTAGCGGTTCGAGGCGAAACACGATCGGGCCGATCATCGGCCGTTCCGTGTTTTTGGCAAGACATCCGCCGGCCGATAATCGGCCCGTCCGTGCTAAGAGGGTTAATATAAAAAATCCATCTTTTTAGTGATGGGTGACGTAAAGCTAGCAGGCTTGCCTGTGGTCACAGGTTTCAATTTCCCTAATGTTTATAAAAACTGGCCAAGACTAAATTTCTTCTGCTTCTTTTCTTCTAGTTTCTTAGAGTTTCAGAGAATTATAACAATGCTTTGTTTATTAATGGAATTGTAAAAACCTTAAATTTTTGAAAGATTGTTACAGGATGAAAGGGTTAATGAATCAAAATTGAGTCAGAATGGGGTCAGCGCTTTCAGTATCAGCATGAGATAAACTCCTTCTGTCCCAAGAAATTCTAGTTCACTCTATTGTGTCACTGGGGCTCTTATATAATAATGAATCTCTATATGCTTGCTCTGTTGACACAAGGCATTCACAAGTAATCTCCATGGCAGCATTTGTTCTTGTTTTCTGCCAGTGACATTCCTTGTCATTTAACATTCTTTTCTTTCCCTTTCTATTTTCCTCTTCAGGTTCCCTTAGTCATCAACGTCTGCTTTTTCCATCTGCCATCTATCGAAGTGCTGTCATTTCCAGAGTGTCATGAGGAATTCTGCAGTCATTACGGAGCCATCTTCCTCTTCTTCTTTTCATAACATTTGCAAGTGATTTTTGATTTTCTTCATCAGTGCTTCATTTATGATTTGTTTTACCAAAATGTACACAAGATTCTCCTTGGAAATTTATTTTTAAAAGTCATTTTTGTACAGTAGCATTCCTAAAATATTGCTGTTGGATAATCTGAGTTTGTTTTCAAACTAGGTCCTTTTGACTTTCATGTATTGTTAAACTTGGCAAATGCTTGGTCAGTTTTCTTTATTACTTGCTTACTTAGTCGCTCCATTTCTACCTTGGGGTGTAGAGGTTTGACAGAGAGATTGCCAGACGTCCCTATCCGCAGTTTTCTTTCTGGCTTTGTTCCATTCCAAACCTCTGGCAGCTTTTTTGAAATTCCTGATGTTAAAATCCACTTGTGGTAGCTTTTCTTTCGAGGTACATAGAAGAAGTAGAAAAATTGTATATACCTCAGGTAAAAAAAAAGTATAATAATATAATAATTTTGCAGGGAAGCTCGGAGCTAATGCTATACTTGGTGTGTCGATGGCTGTTTGTAGAGCAGCAGCAGCAGAAAAGGTAGGTTTGTATTTTCTCTAATTCTTCTATCAACACATCATATAGTATAGTCTATTTTATTTGGTGGTCTGTAGAATCAATGTAAGATGGTCGTTATGTTTCTAACGTTGTCTGTCCCAATCCTGGATGAGAAGGGAGGAGAGTTGGGCATGGGCTATCTCTCTTACCCTGTAAAAAAAAAAATTTTCCACCAAAACTTGCTGGAAAGTATATCATAAAATGAAATGAATTCAAGAGGTTTGAAGAAATAAGAAAAATAGACAACCACTGACAACAGTAGTTATAAGACAAAGAACATGGTTCTACAATGGACACATCCTGAGAAGAAACGAGCAGAGAATCACTCGGTAGGCACTAAAGTGGGAAATAAAACGATTGTTTAAGCAATAGACATCCAAAAGAAACCCTAAAACAAACACTGAATAGAGAAGCCAAGGGTACTGGACTTAATTCCATCCATGTTATTAAAATGATCACACAGGATAGAATGGAAAGGAGGATTAGACTGAGAGCCCTATATGACAACAGGAGATGATGATATCATTTAAAAAACAACATACACTTCAAAATGCTATCCTTTTTGCAGTTCTGATATTTAAGAATTATAATAAGTTCTTCAGTCTAGCTATTAAAAAGTATGGGGTACCTAGTGAGGAGTCCACAGGTCTTGAAAATTTGGGAACCACTGATTTAGTATCATGGCTAAAGTCAAGCTGATGTTTCCTTAAAACAATTGATGGAAATAAAAAAGCTCATTTATCTAGGCAGTCCTCGTGTATTGTTCTGGCTTCATCCCTATTATTTGGGGGGGGGGGGGGGGGGGGGTGAGAAGAAATTCAGTGTCTTCCTAGCGAGCATATCATACAAGACTAGTAATTAGAGGTCTTTCCTTTGAGAGTTGGGGCGAGTGACCAAAAGTCTGCATATAAATAAGTTGGATCTTTAAAACAGATGAGCATGCAAAACTCAAAGTTCTGGAACAAGACCAAAGTCTGGAAGTGGACGAACAACCAGAACTTTCCTTTGAAAATCTCAGCCAGTGAATATAAAGTAAATAAATAATTCACAGCTATATCTCTATCACCTGACAATGCCACTCTGTTATATCTGTGTATGTGTCCCTAAATGGGACCACTTTTTTTATGTTGTTGTATATGTAAAGTTCAAGTTAAGAACCAACATCGTGGCACTTGTGTCATTCCCATAAGCACTTTGTACCCCATATTCAGAAGCCAACGTAGAGTTTCAATTCTTATGGTACTAGTAGCAGACTGATTTGATGTCCAGCTTGCCACTAACTGTTGAGTCTTGCTATTTGTTAAAAGTAAAGTAAATTACCCTTTTCCATGCCTTCAGACGTATTGGGCATATCTTCTTCGTTCACCGGCAGTAAGCTCTGGCCGAAAGTCCTGGTTGTTTGTCCATTGGGACTTAAGCTTTGTGCCATGGCCTGAGATTTGCGTGTACATCTGTTTAACTGGCGTATTTGTGTGCAGTTGGTTGTTCCTTGCGGCTCGGGCAGATGCACTCCAAATTTGAAAGAAGTTCACAATATGCTTATTGGGGAGGCAGTGGGGCCCCGAAACTTACACGAGAAGTATTGTGCATTTAGGGCTAGACCTATATTTTATAGACCCATTGGTGGGTGATATGGTCATCATCACGCTGGCCGCCTATACTTTCTAGGACTGCACATGGTACCCACTCAAGGCTGGGTGGACCTGGGGATGAAGGTGATTTTTGAAGAAGAAAATAAGTCTAGCATAAGGACCCGAACCCACGACATTGCTATCTAGATATAACAATTATTCTTACATTTTTATAGATGTTGCCAGACATGCCACTTGTCACATTATTTGTGTCACACCTCAGACCCATTTTGACAAACCTTGTCTACTTTTCTCCAGGAAGTACCTCTCTACCGGCACATTGCTGACATTTCTGGCACAAAGCAGTTGTTTCTTCCATGCCCAGCCTTCAATGTCATCAATGGAGGAAGCCATGCAGGCAATAAGTTAGCCATGCAGGAGTTCATGCTGCTTCCAACAGGTCTACAAATATGTTATGTTACATTTAGTTGTTGCAATGCTGGCATTCATGATTGACCGTTTGTGTCAACAGTAAGCTGTAATTCTGGTGTGGAAATGTTAGTGCTGGCACATCTGACAACAGCCCTATGCATTTAAACTTTGTGTATGCAAGCTCCAGGATTTTGCTGGGACTGACAAGTTTTTCAGTAGTTTTCAAATGGGACAGTAAAGCACATTCTTTGTGATTTTCACTGTCATAGGAACAGGATAGTTTAGTCTGCAGTGATATTGGAATCTTGACTAACATTTCATTTTTGCCTTTTTTAATGGAAGGACAGTTTGCTGAAAGAAAAAAAAGACAAATGAAATATTTCAGCCTTATTATAAGGCTGTCCTTATTCTTTTTATTTTTTTCTAGCCCCTGTTCTGCATGTCAGTGTCAGGTTATGCGAGCCTTATTGTGTACCACATAGATGCTGGTATTCAAGGCCTCAGATAATCCATTGATCAATCGCTTGCTTGGGCTTACTAGCTATCCTAACCTTCCTTATTTTACCCATTTTTAGGGAGTATGTCAGGAGAGAAGTCTTGAACTTAAGGATTTACGCCCTCTTGGCTACTGCAGTCTTCACCAAATGTGCAGGTTAGGATGCTATTTTTATGCGCTACAGAAAATGTCCATTGTGTTACCAAGAAATGAACTTAGGCTCCTGAATGAGAGACCATTGTTCTAATAACTAAGTGAGGTGCTTTTATAAAATTTAAAAAAACCTTATGGGGGGTCTAAGTTTGGTGAGCAAGGGGTAGACAGCAAAACAAATGGAAGGATTACACTAAGATGTTGACAAACAGTAGTCAGGAAGTGTGCAACCATGGCAAGAGATGGGTGGCTAGGTCAATTGCACCAGCTCTTTATTGTGGAAAAGGCACTTAACTTATATTTTTCTAGTCTATTTAATACTTTATAAGACCTCATTAAGCAAATAAATAGACACAGGAGGCACCTTTTTTTCCCCCTTCATTTTTTTTCTACCTCCCCTTACCTTATTGAGGAGTTGGAGACAGATCTAAGGATTTCTTTGTACTTTTTTCTAATGCTTTGTGTAAGCTGATCTTATTTTTTTAAGGCTGTTCTTGATGCCGTTGTTCCTTATTTTGTGTGGTCTTTCTCTTGATCTTTGTTCCTTGTATTAGAGACACCTTGGGCATGAAGATACAGTTGTAAAGGGAAGTCTTTTCAGCAGGCTGTGATGGGATGACATTCTGCTTAGGACCTGCTACATGATGATGATATGCAGTTGGTTTTCCCCACACTAGAATTGAACTGGTCATTAACATCTTCAAAACTGGTCAGTAGGGAAATGTGCTAGTCAGAGTGTGCCATTATAGGGTCAGTGGCTAGGATAGAGGAGGAGTAAGCAGTGTCTTCTTCTTCTGCCTTTCTATCCCCCAATGGAGCATAGACCCTCAACCAACTCACGCCAAGTTGTTCTATCATTTGCTTTTACATGGAGCTCTCTCCATGCCCTCCCCATCTTTCAACTTCATTCTCCAGCTCTCTTCTCCATATGTTTTTTGGCCTTCCCTTATTCCTATGCTCCTGTGGGTTCCAATGCAAAGACATTATAGTTATTATATTCTCCTGTTTTCTCAATGTGTTTCCTATCCAAAGCCAGTCTCTTTTCCTCACCTCTTGGTCCACTGGGGCCTGTTTAGTTCTCTCCCAAAGCTCTACATTAGTTACTCTATCATACCTTTTAATTCCCTCTATTCTGCTCAGGCACCAGTTAATAAATGTCTGTAATTTATTAGTAATTGCCTTAGTTCTCCATGTTTCCGCCCCATACAAAAGTACTGATTTCACATTAGAATTAAACATTTTAAGTTAAGTATTTATTTTAATTTCTTTTTCACTCCACAAATTCCCTAGTGCTATAAAAGCTCCTCTTGCCTTTTGTATTCTTATTTTAATAACTGTATCAGATCCTCCATCTTTATCTACATTACTGCCTAAATAGGTGTACAACTCCACGTCTTGGAGTGGGGTGCCATTAGGAGAAACCACATTACTATTTGCCTGATTTATTCTCATTATATTTATCTTTCCTTTATGGATTTTCAGACCAAGCTGCTGTGATCTCGCATCTAGTATATTTAATTTATCTTGCATCTGATTCCGTGAATGGGACAGAAGAGCAATATCATCAGCGAAGTCCAGATCATCAAGCTGTTTTATAGGGGTCCACTGAATTCTATTCTTGATTTTAGCAGTTACTGTCTTCATAATCCAGTCTATAGCCAGTAAAAATAGGAGAGGCGACAAAAGACATCCCTGTCGCACACCTGTTTTTATTTCAAATGTATCAGTTAGCTTTCCCTCATGAAGAACTCAACATTTCATGTCTTTATATGTTGCCTTTACTAAGTTAATAATATTTCTGTGGGATTCCATAGTGCCCCATCAATTTCCAGAGAGATTCTCTATCAATGCTGTCAAATGCTTTTTCATAGTCTGAGTAAGCAGTGCATCTATATCTTATTTTTCCCCAAAATGGGACCCTGGAACCTGAACAGGGAAGGATTTAATTTCTATACTGTGAGTTTGTATGCAGCTAAAATCATGCTAGATCACAAAACAGAGGGCTGTGGATATACTTGACATCACATGGCATAGATTAATAAAAAGAGGTTTCCTGTTATTTGCTATGAAGCTGTTGTGATGTAAACAATGGTTTTATAACCCCATTCAGTTATTATAGAAATCTTTTCTTAGAGCCAGCTGGTCTTGCTAGTCACACTTGCCATAATCATTGGCTTGGATTCTCATGCCTCACTGTAGCACATTGTAAAACTGTCATCAGGGAAGATGGAAAGGTGTCAGCTAACTACCGTTGCATATAATTTGGGTCTCTTATTTTATCTGAATACTAATAAATGAGAACTGTCAGACCAATATGGTGAATAGGCAGACTTACTTTTGTGTGTGTGTGTGGTAATGTGCTGTTACATTTACCCCCATATATGAACCAGAAGTATATAGTTCCATACCCCAGCTGCTGAGTTGAGTAAAGGTAAAGTCGGGAGATGTGAACCAGCGTCATTGTAGACGGTTATAAACCATAAGTGCTCTGCCACAAGTATGGACAGCTGACAAGAAATTGTCCGTCTGTGTCGCCGTCCGCACGAAACTCTGTAGCTATAGTGACGTTCCTCCATTTACCCCAGAGTGTTAACTCTGGTACCCATTTCTTAGAGGCTGGGTGAACCCCAGGAACCATCCGGTTTCGAACACCGGCAGTGGGCTGCAGCGAGTCACAGCTGGATTTGAAAGCAAGTCTCCTATCGTGCTGTAAACTGCAGATAAGGAAAATAATGATTGGTTTTCTGTTACAGGACTAGTGGGGTTTTGTGCAATTAATTGCATGTGCAACTTCTGATTTGTCATTGCTGCTTACACAGACAATGAACTGCAATTCTGGTGCAGGGCTGTGTTTGCATTTCTGATGGCTGGTTTATGCTTTGGCTTCTGTTTGTGTTTTCACAATGGACAGCTACTTGGGTATTTTGTGTGGTTTTCACTGGCACAGGAATGGAGTAATTATGGGACGACCCTTTTGCTGCTAAAAAAAAAGCAAATAATTAACAATTTAAAAATTTATTTTCTGTAACACAGGAGCCAGTTCCTTCTCAGACGCCATGAGGATTGGGTCGGAAGTATATCACAACCTGAAAGCTGTAATTAAAAAGAAATATGGCCAGGATGGTAATTCTTACTTTGATTGTTCTTGTATTCACATTTAGTTTTAGGTTTTTTTTGTCATTGTGTTTTGAACATCTTGTGAGCGGGGACTTATTCAAGAACCAGGTTATTTAGATGCTACTGAAGCAGACCTAGAGGCCAGCCAGCAAACGATGGATAGATGGAATATCTGAGACCATATATGCCAGCATCTCAAAGTTTAGAGGATTGACTTCATTGCACCCAATTTTATCCTGTATGGCTTGATCTCTCTCTGCAGAATGGCCAGCTGCTTGCCAAAAGCTTTGCATCAACCACGAACTCCATAGTCTGGCAATGATCCTCAGTCATCTCTGTACAGACTGCACTCATGAACTGAATGACGCTGTCGTGAAATGAACCCATGATCTTCAGAGCACTGAGCAAACGGCTTGACCACTTCACCACAGAGACTGACATCTAACAGCACACGGCAAGGACAGTACCAGAAACCTCTTCAAAACCTGACGCTGAAAGGCAGAACAGAGTCTGGAGCAATGCAGACTCTTTTTTTTTTTCTTGTTGTCTAGGTCAACCTTAGAACTGATGAAACATGAAGTCTAATTAGACTTTTGCCAGAGATTAAACATGCGATCTTTTGAACTGCTATTGCACGACAGCTACTGTGGTTATATACAGTGCAGACCTGAAAAGGAGAACTCAGCAAAAACCTGGGAAATAATTCTTCTTATCAGAAATTTCTTTTGTCCAGAAAAGATTTCAAGCTTATGGTAATTGTTGGGGATAAACACATATTTTCTTTCCTTTACAACAGAAATTTGCCACATCTGAGATCACTTTAGGCAGTCTGCAATACATACAATACATACATACATACATACATACATACATACATACATACATACATACATACATACATACATACATACATACATACATACATACATACATACATACATACATACATACATACATACATGACACACACACGACACACACACGTGAACATACAAACCCACAAGCATGCGAGCGTGATGCACTTGAATACAAACTTTCAGTGTAACATTATGAAGTGTTCTCATTAGATGTTTTAAAATGTGTGTCCATATTTGCCTAACACTTCAATCACAGATCAGATTCCTGAGTTTTTTTTCCCTCTAATTTCTGCAGCCTGTAATGTGGGAGATGAAGGTGGCTTTGCACCAAACATCCAAGATAATCAAGAAGGTGAGATGACTTTTTCCTCGCATGTACTGTTTTTTTTTTTTCTTTTTTTTTTTTTTTTCTTAACTACTGGCTGTGTCAGTCGCTAAGCTTTTTCTCTTATGTGCTGTTTCTCTACTGGCAGTTGCTAGACTTTTTCTTTTATGAGCTGTTTCTCTCCTGTTGGTTCTGTCAGTCGCTATACTTTTTCTCTCATGTGCTATTTTTCTACTCTGTTCTGTCAGTCACTAAGCTTTTTCACTTATGTGCTGTTTCTCTCCTGTTAGTCCCTAGACTTTTTTTTCTCATGTGCTGTTTCTCTCCTGTCAGTCCCCTGACTTTTTCTCTCCTGCCATTTCCCAGACCTTTTCTCTCATGTGCTGTTTCTCTCCTGTCAGTCACTGGACTGTTTCTCTCATGTGCTGTTTCTCTCCTGTCAGTCCCCAGACTTTTTCTCTCATGTGCTGTTTCTCTCCTGTCAGTCACTAGACTTTTTCTCTCATGTGCTGCTTCTCTTCTGTCAATCAATAGACTTTTTCTCTAATGTGCTGTTTCCCTCCTATCAGTCACTAGACTTTTTCTCTCATTTGCTGCTTCTCTCCTGTCAGTCACTAGACTTTTTCTCTCATGCGTTTTAAAGTTTGTTCAGTTGCCTAACAAATTCAAAAGTTATGTGTCGCTGAACACAAATTCAAAGACGAAATGGCAGAAAATTTGACCTGTATTCACAGCATATTAACTAGGAACAATTAAATACAGACTGTAGCTGCAGTGATTTCAGTGCACCTTAGCCATTGAATGGTACTGTCTGAAACTGTTAGTGGGCTTTCCTGGGTTTACCTCATTAGAATAAACAGCTGACCACTCAGCTGTCACTAGTATAAATTCACCATCCGAATCACCTTTGGAAAAATTGTATTTTCTTTATCAGAATTAAAAGTATCTGGCTAAAACAGTTTCAGAGTTTCAGCTGCAGAAGGGCACATTTTGCAGCCTGGGTGCTTGTCTATTTATTCCCCCCATGTCAAAGGTTACAAGACAGTCTAATATTTTAGGTAGTGATAGGATGGGATGGGGAATTCCCGGTACATTACATGGCGCAGTGTATTCTTTGTATGGGAGATTCCTGCAGAGTGTATTGTTTTGTGTTGTGTATTCATCATCATCATCATCAACCACTTCTGCAGTTAAGTGGTGGTGGGGGGGGGGAGGATAATTGCGATACAGTGCATTTGTGTTTTGTAATCATCATCATCAACCACTTCTGCCGTGAAGCAACGTTACAAATGCACTGGATCGCAAATTATTCCTCCCCACGCCGCTTAATGGCAGAAGTGGTTGATGATAATGACAAAACACAAATGCACTGGATCACAATTTATTCCTCCTCACGCCGCTTCACGGCAGAAGTGGTTGATGATGATGATGATTACAAAACACAAGTGCACTGGATCGCAGGATCGCAAATTATTCCTCCCTACGCAGCTTCACGGCAGAAGTGGTTGATGATGATGACAAAACACAAATACACTGGAACCGCAAATTATTTCTCCCCACGCCACTTTGTGGCAGAAGGGGTTGATGATGATGATGATTACAAAACACAAATGCCCTGGATGGCAAATTATTCCTCCCCACGCAGCTCCATGGCAGAAGTAGTTGATGATATTGATGATAACAAAACACAAATGTACTTGTTCGCAAATTATTCCTCCCCTAGCGGCTTCACGCAGGAGTGGTTGATGATGATGATGATAAAACACTAATGCACTAGACCGCAAATTATTCATCCCCACGCCGCTTAACGGCAGAAGTGGTTGATGATGACCAAACACAAAAGCACTGGATCACAAATTGTTCTCCCTATGACGTTTAACGGCAGAAGTGGTTGATGATGATGACAAGATCGCAAATTATTCCACCCCACGTCGCTTAACAGCAGAAGTGTTTAATGATCATGATGATGATGACAAAACACAAATGCACTGGATCACAAATTATCCTCCCCACGTCGCTTAACGGCAGAAGTGGTTGTTGATGATGATGAAGACGAAACAGAAAAACACCGGATCGCAGATTATTCCTCCCCACGGTGCTTAACAGCAGAAGTAGTTGATGACGATGATGACACTGACAAAACACAAATGCACTGGATGGCAAATTATTCCTTCCCAAGTTGCATAATGGCAGAAGTGGTTGATGATGACAAAACACAAAAGCACTGAATCGCAAATTATTCCTCCCCACGTCGCTTAGCGGCAGAAGTGGTTGTTGATGATGATGACGATGATAATGATGACAAATGCACTGGATCGCAAATTATTCCTCCCTACGCCGCTTAACGGCAGAAATAGTTGATGATGATGATGACAAAACACAAATGCACTGGATGGCAAATTATTCCTTCCCATGGTGCATAACAGCAGAAGTGGTTGATTATGATGATGACAAAACACAAAATAACACACTCTGCACCACGTAATGTACCGGGAATTCCCCATTCCATCTTATCACTGCCTAAAATCTCTGCTAATTTTGGAACACACCCCTAAGATATTAGACTGTCCTGTTACTTCTGACATGGGGGGAATAAATAGACAAGAACCGCAGCCTGTACTTGTGGTTAGAACATTGGTTTCCATGGTCAGTCGAACATGAAATTAGAAAATGCGCTGTCTGAAAATGACTCTAATAATGAATGGGATCAGTTTGTGCCTAAAAATGTGCGAACAAAGACTTGTATACGAAGAAAAATGTTAGAGTAACTTTTTGTGAATACTTTAATGGTAGTTCCAAACATTAAAAATGAATATGGAGCCATATGCAAATCAGTATGTACTGGACACACGATCGACACAGACAGTTTTTTGGGGCAAATCTGAACTTTTCAGTCAACGCACACAGCATTGCACAGGCCTCAAAGAGTTAACTGTAATGGACATTTCCAGGTTGAGGTACTTCTAAACAACTACCAATCAGCAGATACTACAGTTGAGCTGTAAACCACCACTGCATTAACCCGTTTAACTCTTTTAGTCCCAAGGAACGCATCATAAATTCAAATCTTCATACCTAGAAGCTTAGTGAACGCCAGATGTGCCAATTTTACATCTGACCTTAGAGCCCCTTGGGCCTCTGATGCTAAACCCCTGGGACTGAAAAAGTTAAAAGGACAATCTGCATGTTTCAGCCGGACACATTTGATTCTGGCAAACTCCTAATTAGTTGCCCTTTACTACATTCTTGTTAGAGCTGTGGAGCTGTTCTTTTTTTTCCCCTCCCAAAATGGGGTCTGGGAAGCAACACATGAACTGTTTCATCACATTTGATTCTGCTGAAGTGTACCATTTTAGAGGGACGTGGATGAAATTTGTTTCTTATCAAACTTTTTTGTCCAAACCAGGTCTTGAGCTTTTGAAAGAGGCCATAGAAAAAGCTGGCTACACTGGAAAAGTGGAGATTGGCATGGATGTGGCAGCGTCAGAGTTTCACAAGGAAGGAAAATATGATCTGGATTTCAAAAACAAGGATTCTGATCCATCAAAATGGGTTCGTATGTTTGACATAGTTTTCTTGATTTCATTCTTCTCTAATTTTTTTATATTTTTTTATTTGATAATGTTTTCGTTAATCTCCCCAATAAAAGTAGGTCACTTTTCATTCACAAGTTTGTTAGGCTGGTCGACTTTCATGAAGGTTACAGGTGTGTCCCGCTCTGTTGTTTGCTTTCTGTGGTGTCTTGCATTTACCTTTTCATTCCGAGAAAAAGAATACCTGTGTCAAAGGTTGCAGCATTCGGGGGGGGGGGGGGGGGGGGGGGGGGGGTTGTTTTAGGACCAGTTGCTTTATGTTTTTGGAGTGTTGAAAGGGCTAGCAGGCTGAAATATACAACACGCTATATCAGCGGCATCATAGAACACCCCCGTAGCCTTGTGACAAGTTCAGGAACTACCAATCAGAAGTGACATAGTGTGTGTATATGGGTGGGGTGTGGGGAGATTGTTACCTTGACCTTTATTTGTGTATGTGTGTGTGTGTGTAAATAGTAGTATTTGGTTGGTTGGTGTATTTGAGGAGCAGCATGCTGAATGGTTAAGATTGCAGGGCAAGACCTTGGTTAAAGTAACGTTAGGGATTTTTTTTTTTCTGTTAGGGGCACCCCCAAAAATCCTAACCCACAGTCTCTGGTGACAGTATTAGCCATGCAGCTCCTAACCCTAAGGCTACAGCATGCCCACTGCCTATAAAACAACTGCAAAAGTAGTAAATACAGGTAGTAATGCGAAAGGGATTTTGGGGGTTGGGGTGAGGGGAGGTGGGTGTGTATTTTAGGACTCTTTATCATGGTTTGCAGAACAGATGTAAGGTTTCATTTACACACAGACAAAACTTTCAAAAACAAAACACAATCGTATTTTGAGATTCAGATATTTTTATAAATAATAATTTGGTCAGTGTGACCATTTAATAGTAGGGGGTCCGCAAGGCTGAGCTAATTGAGAACTGCTGTTCTAGGAGGCTGAGTTTTAGCCAAGTTATTCTCTGTATGGTTTCCAGGGAAATTAGGGGGGTGGGGAGGGGGGGGGGGGAAGATATATCCACTGTCCTCCTTACATGTGTATTTTAAAAGGTGGTTAATTAGGGTTTTTCCTTATAAGTCAGAGTGCAACTGAATGAGAGTCAAGAAATTAAGTCTGCATACAGATAAGCCAGATCTGTAGATCAGGTGGTCTAGAACAAGATCAAAGTCCAGACATGGGTGAACAAGCAAAACTTTATGCCAGCCTTTACAGTCTGTGAATGATAAGAACAAGAGGAACTCAGATATCTCCATATCTCGTGAACCACACGTAAACCAACGCATCCTCTTCTCTTCTTCAGCATTCCAGGTTCTGTTAGTTTCATGGGAGCACATCATCCGCGTGAATTCTAATGCTTTGATATGTTTAGTGTAAACAATGAGCTTTTACAAAAGTATGGGTATCAACCCTAAACCTGAACCTGGAGAACCAGGGTGTCTCTTTGTCTGTTTTCCACCCTTTGGCCGGACTGGTTTGGGAAGCCCTGCTAGTACGTACACTACTAGCATTATAGCTCTCAGGGTCATTGAGAAGCAGAAGCTCCCCTACCATGTCAAGGTGGGGACACCTTCGAGAGAGTGAATCAAAGGATGCAGTCAGAAATTAAACCCCTTAAAACCTTGTAAACATGGGTGTCTAAAAAAAAAAATTTATTGATTCTTATTCTCAGCTAACGTCTGACCAGCTGGCTGATTTGTATAAAGGGTTTGTGCAGAACTATCCTGTGGTCAGCATCGAAGACCCCTTTGATCAAGATGACTGGGATGCTTATGTTAAGTTCACAGCCAGCACGCGGATCCAGGTTGTGGGGTAATGCTGTGCCATTATTAAAGTGTGATTTATGGTATCGCTAGGCTTGTAATATATCTTTAAATGATTCAGTCAGTCCGTCAGGTACCGTCACTAGAATGAAGATTGGCCACAATGGATTTCAATACCCTTTGTCTTGCATCCTGGATGTATACTCTTTCAGACTGCTGTTCTTCCATCTCTTGATTTTATCCTCCCACTTGTATCACTGTCTACTTCTTGCTCATTACCTTCCAGTCTGGTTTTTAAAAGATTGTTAATGTAACCAAAATATTTCACTTGTCTCTTTTTTATTTCCTTCAGCAACTCCCTTGTCCTTACCAGTCTCTTCAGAACCTCTGTATTTGTTTTTTTGCTGACCTGGTTTGCAGCATGTCTGACTCATGCTTGCTTACAGTAACTGCACCAATTCCATGCTTGAATCCCTACAACCATATCATAAAGTACCCAATAGTCTAACCTAGGCAGTGAAGGTTCTTCTCATCATACAATAACCGACAGTTTGTGTTCAAAAGAATTTAAAATAAATTAATTCTGGTAACAGACTTGAATGTCATGATGGCCCTGGAGCGAATGGTGACAGATGGTATTGTTTCTTGAAAATAAAGCAGAGTCCGACCTCTGCGAAGATGGATACAAGACATAAAAGATGTATTGGCTTTCAAAGCACATAGGGCTGGAGAAGAATTGACTAGAGAAAGAGAGACTTTGAGATATGCGTTCCTTAAAGAACGTGTTGATTGAAGATTATGGACAAACTTGGAATATTCAACTCTTTCAGAACATGAGGAAAAAGTGTTGGATAGAGCACACAATAAGAAAACCCTTATGGCTAGAATGTCCTTGCACAAGAACGCACAGAGCCAAAGAGAGAGAAAAAAAAAGGAGAAAACTAAAAAGGATGGAGAAGATAGTTAGAGGCAGAACTGGATAAGATGAGAAAGACATAAGGTCAACTGTCTACAATGGCAAAGCACTACCAGCGGTAGTTAGACACCCATGTTTACAGGGTTTTAAGGGGTTGTAAGATACACAGAGCTAAATAACATGAGAAAGACATAAGGTCAACTGTCTACAATGGCAAAACATGAGACAACTTTGCGCGAGTTATTTGAAGATCTGTGGGGGATCTTCTTCGCATTTACCAGCTGTAAACACTGTATTTATATTCAGATTGTTGGTTCCTGGCCTCTGAGGTAGTTGCACTCTGACTTTGAAGAAAACATCTCTGATTTGTCTACTTTTACACCATGATTGTTAACTGTGCAGTGGGTCTGTTCCCTCCTCCTTTCCACGCACATACAATGAGGACCCACACATGGACATTGAGAGATAGAGAGCAGAGTCTTCATTAGTTGTTGCTAACTCTTAGAAGTAAATTTTGAAGCTTAGCCTGATATTCCTTCAGAGAGCATACATTATGGGCCATGGTGATTGTGTTTTCCTAGGGATGATCTGCTGGTGACTAACCCCAAAAGAGTTCAGAAAGGGATTGATGAAAAGGGCTGTAATGCTCTGCTACTGAAAGTCAACCAGATTGGAACTGTAACTGAGGCTATCGATGCGTAAGTTTTGATTTTATTTGTTTTGTGTTTTGTTTAGGTTGACATGTATCCTTTCTATGGCAGTAAATGCGGGTGAGTGATAGACTGAGTCAAAAAAATTTTTTTTAAACCATGGTTTTGGATTTCAATGCCATTTGAAGACTATGAGTATCATATACCATGAGGATTTCATTGCTACAGGAGGATTCTTAGTGTCATATACCATGAGGATTTCATTGCTACAGGAGGATTCTTAGTGTCATAGACCACAAGGGTTTCATTGCTACAGGATTCTAATAGTATCATATACCACTAGGGTTTTATGTGCCAAGGAGGATTCTAAGAGTATCATAGACGAAGATAAAAACACTGAACATTCTTAATGATCTGAAAGAATATATGTGCTATCTCGACAATGGAAATAGTCAGCCATGAATCCACTGCTACCTGTGGTAATATTAGGAAGTGGTGAGGCCCCATTCTCCACGGTGCAACTCTACAAGAATACCACTGTCTGAAACCGAGAAGTATCTTTTCTTCTCAAGTCGCTGAGCATGGGAACCTAACCCTAGTGGTTATTGAGGTTTGCATTGTGAAACTATTTCACCAATCTCTAAGCTACATAGCTGCACCTTGATTTTAGAATCTGTTGACAATATCATAGACACTGTTGTTTCTAGAAAACTAAGATGCTTCGGCCATATTAAACAGCATAATGATTCAGATTTTTTTTTCTGCCTTAATGTTCTTCACCTGGGTTTCAGCCCCATTGAGGGGCCGGGGGATATAGACCCACTGCCTCCCTAACAAGCATGTCATAAGAGTCAACAAATTAAGGGTTTCCTTGGAAGTCAGAGTGCTTCTATCTGGGAGGCAAGGAACCCGCTGTCTGCAACACACACTAAAAGCCAGATCTGTAAAACAGTTATGCCACCAAAATATTTCACACAAAAATTGGCACAAGACTAAAGTCCAGAAGTGGAGGAACAACCAGAACTTTCCGTCAGAGTTTACAACTGGTGAACACCAAGAAGAAGAAGAAAAAGCTGTAAACAATAACATAATGTGCCAACGACCTATTTAAGGGGCAAATGCAGAAAAGGAGGATTTACCCATATGGCATACAAATAGTTGTTATGTTAAGTTTATTTAGATTATTTGTATCAGAAGTCAGTTCTCTCTCATTTGTTTGTTTGATTGCACAGCTGCAAGATGTATTTGTATCAGAAGTCAGTTCTCTCTCATTTGTTTGTTTGATTGCACAGCTGCAAGATGGCACAGACGGCAGGCTGGGGGGTGATGGTCTCCCATCGCAGCGGTGAAACCGAGGATACTTTTATTGCTGATTTAGTTGTGGGATTGGCCACTGGGCAGGTACTGTCTTCATCTTTCTTTTGACTCAGTGACATCTATGACTGAATGTTGTGATATCTGTGACTGATTGATAACATGACCTGTGGCATCTATGACTGAATGTTGTGACAGATGTGACTCATTGATAACATTACCTGTGACTCAGTGACATCTATGACTGAATGCTGTGACATATGTGATTCATTGATAATGTGACCTGTGACATCTATAACTGAATGTTGTAACATTTGCGATTTATTGATAAAAATGACTTGGGACACTGTGACATGTATGACTGAAAGTTGTGATGTGACATCTGGGATTTATTGATAACATGACCTCTGTTGGTAATAAATGGTGCTATTTTCTACTACAGATCAAGACTGGAGCCCCATGCCGCTCAGAACGACTAGCCAAATACAACCAGCTGTTGAGAATCGAGGAAGAGTTGGGACCTGCCGCTAAATTTGCGGGGAAAAACTTTAAAAATCCCCAGTAATTTTTAGAACATAAACATTTGAGAAACAGTTCCCATTAATTGTTTACTGTTACAAGGTTCATATTTGTTTTATTACCAGTTTACCATTTGTATTATAGATTTGTAAAAAAAAAAAAAATTTCAATTTCTGAGTTGTTACTTGTTTTGTTAGAATTACTTAAAGAGCTATCATAGCACAGTGACTAGACATTTACCTACTGGCCTGAAGATCTTGAGTTCGGATCCGTATTGAGGCAAACAGGCATTTTGTGTGGTTTTTCACTGGTATAGCAGTTGTGGGGCAACCCATTTTCAATGAAGTTAGATGAGAACCCCACTAGTAGTCTGGTTATAGAAATAGTATAATCAAACTGACCTAAATGGAGAGAAACTGGAAATGATCAAATCTGATAGGAAGTATGGGTGGTGGCAGCATTAGATTTCATTAGTAAATAAGTGAAATGGTTCAGCCATTGAACTCTGGTACCAGCAGATGGTATTCCTCTATGATAAATGATGCATAGACCAGAGGTCAGAATTGAAAGATGGGCGACCATGTAAACCTGGGCAGTGGAAATAACAAGGTCCTTGGGAGACTCAATTTACTGTGTGCCATAATTTTTCATACACAGGAAAAACACAGTTGTTTTGAAAACACATTTCACTGTGTCTACTCCAATGCTGAAGAGCACTACAAGCACAGCTGGAGCTTGTAATAGCAATAGTTAGTTAGTCTTTCTTCTCGAGCCTAGGGCGATGCATAGGGCAGAGGTCATAGCTCTCCATGTTTGGCGGTTTATTGCCACCTGCTTTAGGTCTTAGATGTTTATTAGGCCCATAGCTGAACCTTCTGGGATGATGGTTCTATGCAAGGTCTCTCTTAGTCTTCCCTTTTTCTTTTCCCCTCTGGTGTCCATGTGAGGGCTTGATGGATGAGTCTGGTCTTATCCATGCTGAGTGCATGGCCGATGTACCAGTGGTGCTTTCTTATTTGGATACATTATCTTGCTTGGTTTCTTCCCTTATTTGCAAATCAAATCTGAAATCTTTCCAGTTGAGATTCAGATTCTTCTAAATAAAAAAAAAAAATTTTGTATCTAGAGCTACCGTTGCTTTCCAACTCTTGCATCCACAAGTTAGCACTGGAATCACACAAGAGCTGAAAATTGTAATGGCATTGGTTATATCTTTATGTTCCTGTGTATGGAAACTTATGGGCCACTCAGTATAAAGCGCACAAATGGGCACACTTTCACTGTTTATACTCCACCTTGAGACCTCTTCTTCTGCGTTCATCCAAAGATGTAAATGTGTTGTGCCGGTTTATAGCATGACTGTGATATGTGCATTTTTTGGCTGACATATCTGACTTCTGCAAGATTTTGTTGGCCGGGTTAGCCTTCCAGGCTTCACTTTGATACTAAAAGGACCAAGATGAAATAACATGATGATGATGAATAGAAACCTGTAGATATAATTAAATTTAATTTAAAAAAGCTGAATGCAAATTGTTACTATTTTTTTTTTACTGAGACACACATGAATGGGTACCAGGTACAGACCCTGGGAAGTAAAGGCAGCCTGATGCTGAATACGTCACCCACCAAATGCCATTTGGTCAGTAAAATATAGGTCTAGCCCTATATACCCAATACACCTGAGGGCGTGAAAAAAGGTCCTTTATTTTTTTTTTCTGAGACACACAGAAATACATCCATACCTAAAATTGTCTTTTCTGTAATTCACAGCACATGGACTAAATACTCAGTGTAATATTGTAATGTTTTTTTTTTTTTTACATTAAAAATTCAAGGACCCTTTTCCCCACCTTCAGTGTATTGGGTAAATAGGGCTGGACCTGTATTTTTTAGACCATACTGCACTTGGTGGGTGATATGGTTTGCATCACACCAACCGCCTTTACTTCCCAGGACTGTACCTGGTACCTGCTTAAGGCTAGGTTGACCTCGAAGCTAAGGTCATTTTTGAAAAAAAAGTCCTGCCCCTTTTTACATTAAACTTTTAAAAATGTAAATTTGAAACTTGTAGTAGACAAAATATTTTAGGGTAAAGTGTAAAAATAGCACAATCGACACCTTTTCTCAGTGGAAAAAAAAATTCAAGTAAACTTGCAAAAAATATGTATACATTTACACTGAATGTGAGAAATTATGTTTTACGTAAAATTGTGTTGTTTTCATTCAAATATTTTAATTGCAGTTCTTCGACCAAGTTTGCCATTAAGGTCATGTGTGCATATTGAAATAACCAACATTGGCCCCTTACTAAATTTACCTTTTCATTTATTGGCCACAGCTGTTTATCCAACTGCACTCATTGGCTGAAAGTTGTAATTGTCAACTATTGGCCGCTCCTGCTGTACGTATCCGTTAAACAAAACAAAAACCCCCAAAAAACCAAGATCTTTTACTTTTGATAAAAATGTGGTGTATTGGTTAGATGTTCTTCTGCCTGCCTGAAGGTGGGAGATTCATATACATGTCATGCCTAAAATGGGTAATAGGTTGTCTTGGGAAGCAAAGGTGGCCTGTTTGGTATTTACCACATTGATTGCTAGTTGGTCTATAAAGATAAGGTCTGGCACGGTTTGCCCGATGTGCCACAGATGTAAACATGTGAAGCATCATACATCTCACACCTAATACCATTACTCCACGTAAGTCACCACATACTCAACACTATCTCGCACCATGCGGAACCACACACTCCCTCACCTAATACCATGACTCCACACATTAGACACTGGTAAAAACTTTTATAAATGCTCAGTTGAACTGTTTTTGTTGTTTTTTGTCCCGTCTTTAATGTAGTTTATGTCTTATTATGACTAATTTGTATCTGGGATACATTTATCATCCATCTAGTCGATTTCTATAGAATTATATAATTTGCAATAAATCATGTTAACTTGTTCGACACTGTCATATTTTTATGTGATCTGCATGAGTGAAGATGTAAAAGGTGTTTCAGTTATATCCTTTCACTGGAACTCACAGGGAATAATAAGTGAATTAGAGGCAGAGATAAATAGTGCAGGGAGGGGAGCTGCAGGAGAAGATATAAGATAAGACAACTTAGCGTGATTTGCTTGAAGACATGCTCTGATGGAGATTTACTGAAAACTGGTTGACGAATCTGCTTCTTCGTGTTCATCGGCAGAAAGCTCTGGTTGTTTGTCCACTTGTGGACTTAGTCTTGTTCCAGAATTTGAGTTTTTTATGCACTTCCTTTCTATAAATCTGGCTTATTTGCATGCAGACTGTCATTTCCTTGCCTCTCAATCAGATGCACTCTGACTTCGAAGGAATCGTCCTAGTTAGTCGACTCTTGCTAGGGAGTCAGTGGGTCTATTCATGTTTCATCCCCCAAAATGGGGCCCGGAAACCCACACGGGGGGGGGGGGGGGGGTTTGAAAATCAACATCACAGCACACTAGGTACACTGGCCATACCCATAGATGCTTCGTCTCTGCAGCAAATGTCCAGTACTGTTTTTTTCTGCCAAAAGGTTTGCCTTAATGTGATATATTTGGTGCAGTCTTGAAGTATATTACAAATGGTTAATTCGGTTCCTGTCGTGATAGAAGAAGCAACAACATTACAGTCCTTAGGAATTTCCAAGAAACATGATGCCATGTTTGGTACTGAAAGAGAGGTTCAATTTAGGCACCATGGGGCAGAAGTAGCCCAACTTCTTCTTCTTCTTCTCTTCCACCATTTACCTCAGCAAGGTGTTGGGGGGAGATGTAAGGATTGTTTGTGCGCTTTTTCCAATGCATGGTACAAGTTGGTGTTCATTTCTGTTAGCTTGCTCCAGATTATGTCGCTCCACCTCTTGCTTGGTGGTTTTCACCTTGTGTTTATTATATTTCTTCAGCGTAACTTAACTAATGATTCAAATACAAAAGGTTAATTCGGTGCCTGTCAGTGATAGAAGATAGCATTATAATTCTTAGGAGTGACCAAGATATGTATGAAGCTTTGTTTGTTTCTACTTCTTTTTTCTTTGCATTTGTTTTCATATGCTCAGGTCAGACCATTAGGTGGGTTACCTCTATGAACTTGCATGTCAGCTGCAGATCTTTCATGGTTCCCCATAGCTTGCTCTGCACACTTTGCTCTTGAGGCCAGGTTTCTTTTAGAAGTTGTAGGTAGAGTGGGCAGGTCTGCAGAATTTGCTCATGTGTTTGTGGTCCTGTCTGCTGATGAGGTCATATGGATGTTAACTGTTGGTTTGTTCTCTCCACAATTCCTTGTATTTTCCCTTGATAAGCGTTTTATGCTTGTTTTCTGTATTGAAAGAGTTAACAAGCATAACCATGTCCAATCTAGAAATAAATCAAAAACTCAGCCATGTTCAACCTGCTGCTGATGAGCAGCTCCAGTTATATTTATGGTCTAGTTTATTTGCACCAAATGTTTGGCTAACAAACAAGCATGTCATAAAAGGTGGCTAATTAAGGATTTGAGGAAAATATCTGTTGGGCTAAAAGGTACATAAATCATAGCATAGCTGTAAACTACAAAACAAAGTGCCAACCACTTTTTTAAAGGTGAATAAAGAAAATGAGGTTTGAGGTTTGAACAACAAATCAACATTATGGCACACGGGTAGTAACCCATAGGTGCTCTGTTCTTCTAACTCAAGTCTGAGACCGAAGAAGCTTAGTGCAGTGCACATGCTCTGTAGCACCGGCAAGGATCCTTAAATACTTTGGGTAGATTTTTTAACTCTAAATTTTACATGGGCAGCGCTGTTAGTCTACTCTTTTCCATTTCCAACTGTTAAGGGATTTTTTATGTGCGCAACAATGCACACGGGCGGCCGATCTCACTACTCAGAGACCAGGGGGAATTACTAGAAGTCCAAGTTCATGTGAAAAATTTTCAGCACTTACCAGGGATTGAACCTGGAACCTCTAGCGCTTGGGGGGGACATCATGCCTCAAGACCGCTCAGTCCCCAAAAGAAAAATTAAGAAGCAGCAGAAGGAGAAACAAA